CACCTTCACATTTTCAAGAACAGGCCTTTTCTAACAGAATCGTGAATGCGTCCAGAAAACAAAAAATGCAAACGTCAATGTCTTGGTATTTATGTCAAACCCTGCCCCAGCTGTTGGTAATTTCTGCCTTAGCAGCAGCATTCAGCCTGCTTGTCCAGGGCACAGCCAGTACTGTTTTACAGCTCACACAGCCCCTGGAAAGGTGCTGCTTCCACTGGTTATTCTTGAACATTTGCAGTGCATTGCCACAATAGCTACAGAGAGGTGCTGGGTGCTACAGAGGAGTAAAGGGTTAATCTCGGACTGAGCTCCCAATGCAAAGACAGTGCAGGTGCATAGCAGTGCCCGTCTCCACACGCCACTTTACAGCAGGGGCTGCCAAAGCACTTTGTAAGGGAGGTCTGCTGCAATTTTCCTCTTACAGAGCAGAAACCTGAAACATAGCAATAAAGTGATTTGCTCTCCTGAAGGCGGACTGGCAAACAAGGCACTGAAGCTGCAGTCCAGGGCTCTACCCACAGCACAGGGGAGTACATGATGGAAAGGCAAGATATCTTGCTGAAAAGCCCACAGGACTCCCTGAGAAATAAACAGGTAAGTAACCCAAAGGCAGGCTCTACATCCACACTCAGCAAGGCAGCAAGACTACAGGATTCAGCAATAAAGTACTAATACAGAGGGGGGAATGGGTTCCCAAATGGCTGCTGGAAGGGGATTGTATAGCTAAAGTAGGAGAAGCCCAAACACAAAGCTGCTAAGGGTAAGGTAAAATGAGTGATGCTAAAGAGGGAAGGGTTGGAGCATGATTTACACTTTAATAAGATAAAGAGAATTGTGACAATACTAGGACTGAGTTGTGGTTGTGCCACAATTATAGCCTAACTAGCCTACAGTCAATGTACCTGCACAATAAACTACACAGGAACCCAAAATAAAGGAAAAGGATCAGAAAGCATGAAGTAGGTGAATACTTTTATTTTCAGAACTTGGTAAGCTTGGCTTAAAACTTCAGACAATTTCCTGCCACAGATCATCAAGGAAAGGGTGGGGAGGACACATCTGCATTATCATGTCAGGGACCTTTCAGTGCAGATGTCAAGTGGAACCATATCTTTTTGTATGGCTTTTTTTATGACGTGGCCATTTAAAGCCCATCCCCTGGATGTTACATTCCTGGCTGCAGATCTTTTGCAGGCCAAGGACTCTCAAAAGCACAGAAAGCACTCATGTGTCTTTTGCCACCAGGAAAGAATGTATATTAGTGATTTCATGCCACAAATTGTTTCCAGAACAACAACAACACCCCCAACATCCCCAAAGCTACTATGCTTAGTAATTTTTCCACCTCTCTTTACATTTCTATCTTACGGCCAAGTAATTATGATGAAATCAGGGCAAATCCAGACCCTTCCTCCAGGTCCTGTAGTCTGCTCTAAACAAAACAGCGTCCACAACAATGTATTAAGCATCTGTCAAAAACCCATAATTATATTACTATTGTTTCCTAGTCCCAAAACCGCATAATCCCTCATACCCTACAACACACTTGTTTCACACTAGACTCAACAGTCCTGATACAGAAAATAGCTGTAGTACAGAGACCATTAAATTTGGAACCAGCAAAGCACTAAGCTTGCTAAGATGGAGATGCTGCAGCAGCAACATGCCCTGATTGTCACTGGACCTGGACATCCCCCCAGCAGTGCTTCACTCATGGGATGCAAGTTCATCCCATTTCCCTTCTTCCCAAACTCATGAGGCTTCAGATAAACTGACTGAGTCTGCCCTGAGTTTTAGGGAGCAGGCAGCAGTGCCGCAGTGGGAAGAGCCCATACAGGTGAGATTGCACTTATCTAATTAAAGGAACTTGCCAGATGACTCTAAGACACTTCCTTTGTGGTTAACTCTGACATGACCCTAACATCACCAACAAACAGAGAGAACATTTCAAATACATTAGCTTTTCTTCTCAAAGTGATGGGGGACTCGACTCCATATCAAAGGTTAGCACTGGCTTACAGGAAATCAGATTTTACTCACAGGCATTTAGAGAAAAAAGGAAAATGTCTCAAAAGCACCTTTCATCAAAGACCCATTAGCCACTTGAAAAAATTGCTCTAAGTACTACATTCCAGACATCTCCATAGCTACCTGCATATGTATGGAGGCTGCAGGGTTGTGGGTTTGGGACTTGTTTAGTTTTTTTGTTAACTCTAGCGTTTCCTAGGGATGGGAAGGCAGGAGACCATTTCTTCTGAAGAGCTTTTCTCTTGGTGTTGTCATCTCCTGCCATGCAAGCACTTTTCTGACACACTCTGTAGCCCAAACAAAACAATGGGAAACAAGCAAAATCCCCAAACCTACTATTATGTTTCAAGTCCATTTTCCACTGGATTACTGTAAAACTGCTAAGCTTTCTTTTTTTTTTTTTTTTTCTTTTTTTCTTTTGTAGGATAAGCAACAGCCTGCTTATCAGCAGTTTATCACAGTGGGGAACAGCAACTGTTCCCCACTGTGATAAACCCATGCCAGCTTAGTCCCCAGGGTCAGATGTGAAGCAGGACCTGAGGAACAGCCTGACAGGTTAATGAGGTAATAGTTTTTCCATTGACTCACAATGAGAACACTTATTACAGGAGAACCTGTGGCTTCAGAAATTCAGTGATGCTGCAGGAGAAGTCATCTCATGGACCAACAGGCCAGTGGTTTCATGATTCCTCATGTTTCAGACTCCTGAGGTACTAAAGTGGTACCTTAGGTATGTCCTAAATTGCAGCGAGGGCAGGGCTGCCCGCAGCTGGCAAATCCTCTGTGCCATTGCCATGTGTTTCTGTCAAATTACACACAGGGAGCTGTGTAATGACAGATTTTCGTCTATAATTTCTGTGATTTGCTAATATCATTCCACCTGCAAGGAAGCGAATTAAGAGGAGGCACAAGCAGATGGGAATGAGGTGGCACACAGACCCCATTTCCCATGGT